TTCATGACCCAAATTAGGTAATGTTGTCAGTGCACTCAGAGAGCACCAAGTACCCCTCATTTCAACCCTGAGCTACAAATATTCTCCCAAATGGACTTTTCTTAATTTGGCCCTCTTGAGTATGTTACCCCAACCACAAAACCAATGACTTACGAAATACGTACCTCTGAATTTTGCTGCAGCATTCTACAATTGCTTCTGAATATAAATGTACATATTGAGGAAAGCAGCTTACAAAAGTCAAGTCAGGAAAATTGCACAAAAATGTGCACAGAAGGAAAAGGGTGTGCACAAATTGTGTTCCGTGCATGTAACCTTTTTTTTTAATTGAACCATGTTGATCTGGGAAGAAGGAAATTTGTAACTAGACTGGAGAAACAGAAAGAAACAAAACAAATTTCTCCTCTCAAATGATCACTTGCCGAAGTTGCCTTCATGTTCTTGTATGCTGACAATGCTGTTATCCTTTCACAAACTCCGATAAGTTTGAGTAGAGCTTTAAGCTCTTTTTTCTGTCTGGAACAAGTCAAATGCTTCAAGTACTTTGGGGTTATTCTCCAGTCATCAGTATCTTGCAATGCACATTTGACTTACATTCTGCAAAATGCTCAAAGGACAGCAGATGTCATTCAATCTTTCTTCCAGCATAAAGAGGCCCAATTTTTACCTATATCAATCAAGTTCTTCAAAGACCAATTTTATGTCCAATTGTTATACGGACCATTATCGGGACCATATAAAAAGTTACTTATTTGAAATCAACCCAATAAAATTTCAGAAATCTTTCTTCCACATCTGCTTCTTCTTGAAGCCAGCTGTTCAAGAGAGGCATGGTGGCTCGATGGCTTAAAAGACACTGTAGTAGGTCTGTATTCCAGCGGTTCAAGTCCTAGCATTGCGTGATGGTGTAAGCGCCTGTCATTTGCCTCAGCTTCTGCCAACCTAGCAGTCCGAAAATATGTTATATGTAAGTAGATAAATAGGTACCATTTCACTGGGGGGGTGGGGTGGAATGGTGCTTTGAGCAGCAGTACAAATACAACCAGTGCTGGACTTGCCCAAATGCAAGGTGATATTGGTGGTGGGGAAAGCCACCAATGCAGACTGCCCTTGAACTTTTCTGAGTGTGAAGCTAGTTTGCCCCCTGTGGGACACTCTGTATAGTGCACAAGCGTGAACTGAATAGACTATCCATTGTTGGCAGCCAAACATATTTTTTTGTATTAACACTGTATTAACTTTGTATTAACACTGTAGTCTCCTGGCTAATGTAACATCATGATACCCTAAATAAATAAACACTGCACTGAAATACAGATAAACAATATTAAGTCCAGTCACTTGATAATTTTTTTTCCCTCTGCCTAAGAGGGACTTTTTACCTGCAGGGTTTGGCTCCTGCGGTTTTGGAAGAAAAAACAACAGCATTGTTTCACTCAGGAAAAGAACGTTGGATAATAAATTGTTCCAGTATGTTTTCCCTTTAGATGTTGTAAGCACAATTTTTGAATGTACAAAACTGAAGATTAGTTCAAGGATCATTGACATTGATCAGAGCGCAGTAAGAAAACCAATCTGTTTATTTATTTTTATTTTATTTTATCAGATTAAGAGACCACCCATCTCACTCAAGAGAGTGACTCTGGGCAATGCGCAACGAAAAACATAACAATTCAAAAGCTGTAAAAAAATGCAAAGTCGTAGCAATAGGCTAGCTAAAAATTTATATCAGTTCACTGTTCCAGCATGTCTCAGAATTATATCATTTGAGTGTTTCAGTGTACTTTAGTCTGGCCATTGCCCAAGAAAAATACATGAAGTTAACATATTTAAAGAAGTGATGCTCATCTAATTCAGCGGCGATTGAAATGACAACTCTGGGTTTTGCTCCACTGTAACTCTTCTGAGGCTATTGGTTCAGAGAATCTATTTCCTTTGAAATAAAATATCAAGGTCAGTCTGATACATTTTATATTACTCTGTCTTCCATCTGTTGGGCATGATGAAACAAATTTGAGAGTTGCCAAGTTTTTCTGGAGCACATACCACACCCATCAGGCACTGGTCAGCAGGGTCAACGATTATTTGAAGTTTGCTTATGCTGTGTGTTGTTAATGGTGTTTGTTGCCTTTAATATATGGTCAATGATCAAAATAAAATTGGATTGGATTTGATGTGACTTGGCAGATTTCTCTGTCTCAAGGGGGTCTCAGCTGCTGTTCCTCCCTTGTGATCGGAAGGGATATTGAAGGCCTGAATGCAGTTTATATTTATCCAGAAATCATCAGAAAAAAGTTAAACTCTGGGCAGACACCGCCAATCTGTTTCAGTTTCAAGTAAAAAAAGAAATAAAGAAACCTGTCATAGTTTTCTTCTGAAACCAACTCTATAGAATTGGAAATTGTATCAGCTTCTTTTGAGTGAAGAACATTGGACTTGTAAAAAATATATTGGAGTTTAGAGTCCTGTAATAGATGAACAGTGACATTATATAAAGAGGGAATAAAAACAGACCAGAATTTCAAAGCGTTTCCCATTCGGGATCTTGGGAGATAGTCCAGAAAACAAGTCTCATTGGAGGTTGGACAATGCTAACAATCAGAGTTTATCAATCAATCATTTATCTATCTATCTATCATCTACAGTATCTCTCTCTCTCTCTCTCTCTCTCTCTCATCTCTACCCCCCTCTCTCTCACTCACATAGCAATGATGCTGTAAATTAGGGAGGCCTTTGATTTAACGATTGGCTGATTGACTGATCGATTGATTTGGTCTGGTTTATTTTGCTTTGTTCTAGCACCTTTTATGTATGGGGTTAGACACCCATTGTTGCTGCAAGCCTTAGATCAGGGGTCCCCAACCACTGGGCCCCGGACTGGTACCGGTCTGTGGAACATTTTCTACCAGGCCGCCGGTTTGCTGGGCGCCGCCATCTTGTTTCAATGATAAAGTGCTTCCGGGTGAGCTTTTCCGGTTGGAAAGCGGCGTTTGGGTCCTGAAGGAATCCTCGCGCTTTAGTGGGGGGGCGGCTTCGAATGAAACTAAGGCGCAAGGATTCTTTCAGCACCCAAGGCAAGGCGAGCCGAGCGACCGTCCCGAAGCCGTCCCGAAGCCCATCGACAAAGGTACAAAGGAGGCGTTGAAGGTGGTGGGGAGAAGCAGGGGACGGCTGGCTGGCCAGTCGCTCGGCTTGCCTTGCCTTGTCATGCGTGCTGATGCCGGTACCGGCTGTGGATCATTTTGTGATGCCGGTACTGGGCTGTGGCACAAAAAAGGTTGGGGGCCACTGCCTTAGATCACTGCATAAGACTGAATGCAATCCACTCCCCCCTAAAAAAAAGTGGTCAAAAAGATTAAGAAGGCAACTGTACCCATTCAATAGGAGCCCGTTACCACACCTTACCACATGCCAGTGATGTTGAACACATGTGCAGAAGAGCCAGGGGTTCAGTTGAGGAGCCCCAGCTGCTGTCTTTGACTTTTTTTTTTGATACTCCTGTACTGATGGCTTCTCGTGATGATGACCATTAATTGAATTAGGAAAGAAAGAGCATCTTAGCCCAGCTACTGCTGTCCTTGTCCTGCCAAAGCTGCCACAAAAGTGCTTTTCTCAATGGCTTTCTTCTGCCACCTAGGAAGAAAGCCAAGAGCTCTCCATTTTATGGCTCCTACAAGGAGGCTACAGCAGCAGAGGAGCATTTCAAACTCAACAAAGCTCCCATTCCATTCCCCCCCCCCCCCCCCCCCCCCCCCCCCCCCCGCCCAAGCAGCTGATGTAAGAATATGGCAGGATAATACTCTGCAATATTTACCTAGAAAATCAAATTTGCATCTAAGGATTTTTTTAAAAAAAAAGAAAGAACCCCCCCCAACCCCTGGATAATCTGGATAGAATCCCAAAGTAGTACAATGGGAAGAGATCAAAAAGAGCATCTAGTCTGACCATCTGCAATGTATAGGAATACAAATGAAACCTTATATAAGAGGTGGCTATCTCCCTTAAAAAAAAACAAAAAACTCCAGAATTGGGGGGAAACCAGTGATGGGATTCATTTTTTTTTTACTACCGGTTCTGTGGGTGTGGCATGGCTTGGTGGGTGTGGCTTGGTGGGTGTAGCAGGGGAAGGATCCTGCAAAATCCCCCATTCCCTCCCCACCCCACTAACCTGCTTTCCAGCTCCATTCTCCTGTGCAGGACAACAAAAGAAGACCCAGCCAATCAGCTGGGATTTGGGAGGTAGAGAATAGATGGGGGCAGGGTCAGTCACAGGTGGTATTTGCCAGTTCTCTGAACTACTCAAAATTTCCACTACCGGTTCTCCAGAACTGGTCAGAACCTGCTGAATACCACCTCTGGGGGAAACCCACAATCTTCACAGGTAGATTACAGATAGTCCTTGGCTTACGGTCAAAATTGATCCCCCAATTCCTGTTGCTAAATGGGACAGTTGTTAAGCAAATCATTGCAGTTGTTAAGTTAGTAACCTGGTTGTTAAGTGAATCAGACTCTACTTGTCAGAAGGTTGCAAAAGGGGGCCACATGACCCCAGGACACCGTGACTGTCATAAATATGAATCAGTTGCCAAGCAAATTTTGATCATGTAATCATAGGGATGCGGCAATGGTCATAAGTGTGAAAAACAGCCCTAAGTCACTTTTTCAGTGTCGTTGTGACTTTGAATGGTCACTAAGTGAACTGTTGTAAATCAAGGGCTACCTGTATTTCTACCCTTGTGCAGATCTGATTGTCAGGAAGTATTCTTTTACTAAGGAACTTGTATCAAGACACCTGTTAAGATGTGCTAGAAGAGATAAGTAACCTCCACAATTTCTTCCCTCCTTATTATATGAAGGTTTGGGCCTTCATATTCTGTGAAGCCAAAGCTTGTTGAATAAGCTGTAATAGGTGGGTTCAGACTTAAAATGCTAACTCAATAAAGCATGTTTTGCAACAGCGGTGGCTGGATTCATACAGTTGTATGATTAAGTTGTCATACAGCAGCTCTGTAGTGGAGAAAAAGGCTCTACAGAGAATCATTAAAACTGCCCAGAATATCATCGGGCTCCAGCTACCAGCCCTGGATGACATCTTCACATCTCGCTGTTTGAGGAAATTGCACAACATTCTCAGAGACTCTTCCCATCCTGCTTACAATCTTTATGAACTGTTGCCTTCTGGCAGAAGATACAGAACAATTAAAAGTTGGACCACATGTTTTCTGAACAGTTTTTATCCCAGAGCTATAATTGCACTTAACAATGAACTTAAGGACCACCATCGGTGAGCTGTTGGACAGTGTTACTTGGTCTGTTGTGTGGATGCTTGTGTGTTTTTAGGGGCGGGGAATTTTGGTGGGTGGTGGGGTGTTTGGGGATTTCGTGTTGCGCATGTGTGTATGTGTGTCGGGTCTGGTCTCTGGGTGTTATGTGAATTTCATTGTATGTATACTGTGTATATACGTACAATGACAACAAAGAATTCAATTTAATTTCAATTCAATTCATATAAACACATAGCAAAGGCATTATGCAATGACTCTGTGCAAATTGTGAACCTGGACAGCTTTATGATATCACAATGGGTGGGATAGAGAGTCTTCAGTATTTGGTGGTGGGGCTGGAAGAAAGAACTCGTGGATTAGTCAGCACAATTGCACGCTGCTGAGCTCTTGCAAGCCAATCAGTTTAGCCTGCCTCTCTCATCCCAGGCCTACCACTGGCTAACAAAATATTAACAGAGCACAGATAAACCCTTAACAAATCCCCGGAGGACTGAAAGATCACCTGAATCTGTGATGAGATTGGTGTGGGGTTGAAAGGTATAGACTCCGGTCACTTCTGTTTATAGATTTGTTCTTGCTCACCATTGGAGTTGAGCAAATGTTTAATCGGTTTCTCCTGCTGCCTTTTGGCTTTTGGATAATGCTACGGAGCAAAGTTGCCTTTTCAAACGTACCCTCTCCCCTCTTCGTGCCATCTGTACTTCCGCTTAGCAACTAACAGATGGCTGGCTCCGTATTCGATAAAGAACATTTGGCTGGTTGGTTTATTTCAAGATATTCCTTTCTCGAGGCTTGGGCTTTACAGTTAGCAAAGGGAGGAGAGAAATCCAGGTTGTTCAGAAGATGACAGGATGAAAGTGAGTGAAAGACAGGGCTGCTATTCTCATTCCTCTGGGGAAAAACAGGATGCTGTGGGCCACTGAAGAAAGAGAGGGGACAAACCAATCCATAATCCAAATTATTGAAAGGCAAAGGTGCACCAGGGCAGCTGGCATCAGGTGAAAGCAGGCAGGTGGAATGCCAGGCATGTAACACTGGACTGGATTTCCTCTCTGCAGCTGGCTCATTAAGAGCCCCAAGCCGGGGCTCCCTCTTACTCAAAAGGCAAAGATCGCAGCAGGGAAGTTAGCTCTTGGGCTACTCACATTTCTCTCTCGCTCCCTTTCTGCCTGCCAAGCTTTGCAAAGCCTTTCCTGGCAGCTCATTAGGAGGTGCGCTGATGCATAAGAGACAGTCATTAGGAGTGTTTTTCAACATTGCCTTTTGATCAGCTGACTATAAGTCTCATGGAGACGTTTGCTTACATTGTTTTCCATGAGCGTCCTCTGTTGCTATATCGAGAATGACATGCATAGAAAACGGGGGGAAACTAGCTTGACCTTTCCATGTCTCAGGCAGGGAGGGGTGGAGCGTGGCCTCGCGCCATTGGGTTCTCAGAGTTTCGCCTTGATATTGTCAATGGTGATGCCACAACAAGAGCAGGGCAAGGCAATCTCTCGGCAGCCACACTTCATCCACTTTTAATAATTGGTGCCAAGGGCAGAGAGGCTGATGGGGAAGGAGATAATGGCCATGCCATAGGTTTTCTGGGGCTCGCTTTTGTTGGGCAGGCTGGCCTTCATTTGTAAAGACTGCCCCTCTGGGCTTCCTGCTCAGAATTCAATTCTGGGTGGATGAGGTTCATTGCTATTTATTTTTGCTGGGTAGTTGCCATAAGACTATTTTAATATCCCATGGAAGGATGGTATTCATGGGAAATCTATTTAGAAAAATAACTTACTTGCATGCATTGTAACATAGTTGGCATTCATCAAATAATTGTTGGGAACTTCAGCTGTTCAGAATGCTGTAGCAGGAGTTTGGATTCTGGTTGGTTATGGTAATGTACGATTGCAGTAACTTCTTTGGCTAATAATCTCTTTCTGGGCTATCAGCCCAGCCGACAACTATCAGCTACAAGCCTAACATGATGAATAAAGAATCCATAAGCTTCTAGTTAGTGCTGAACTACAACTCCCAGCATCCCTTTCTATTGGCAATACTGGGTTGGATAGGTAGGAGCTTTAACTCTGCCACATCTGAAGTGCCATAGGTTGTCTGCCACATTGTCTAACTTAGGACGTGTGAGTGACATGAAGTCAGCACATTAATTTCTTCAGGAAAGGCTCTTCCACCCCTTACCTTACCTCCCCTGTTGAAGTGAGAAAATACCTTTTCCAAATCTGATACAAACTTGATACAAACTATCTTTTGTGCTTTCCATTTGTAGACAAAACCATTTTTCTTCAGCTAAACCTTTAGCTTCACCTGTTGCCTTGTTACGCTTAAGGTTGCCGTAAATACTCAAAGTACATTTGCAGGATTTGTGGGTGGGATTCATCCTTCTTCCAAGGGGAGGCTGGGTGGTAAGGAGAAAAAAATTGGAAGATCATAATAGCTAATATTTACAGGTGGATCCAGGGATGGTTTCTCTGCTTTGGAAACTGAGGTAAAAGCCTTTGAATTAAAGCATGAGGCTTAGTTGAGAGCCAAGTAATTTTTCTATTCTCCATCCCGGAACCCTTACATGTTTTGGAAATGTTTGAGAAGGCAGAAACTCATTGTGGGGTTGATAACATTTGTCAGACACGATGGAATAAAAAGATGGCTGCTTCCATAGAGTTTTTATTGCTCTTATATTTTGATTGAACTTTGGAGATGCCATTTTTCACCATTATTAATTTCTTTAAGAACTATTTGGTGAGTAAGTGGGATCTAAATTTAACAAAGTAGAGGAAAGAATTCTGTTTTCCTCTTTTCACTTTACATCCGGACTGTGAGATGTGGCTTAATAAGTAGGCTTTCTTCTCGATGAAAACGATGTTCTGCTCTTGAAAGGCTGAGTAAGCCACAATAAATAAGCAAATAAAGAAGGGCTCAGTTTTGGAAGTTTATCAAAGCAGATAAACTAATCAGGTCTGCTTTGGGGTATCTAAAGACCATGGCATTCTAATTATATAAAGTTCCATGAATTTCGGCAAAGACTCCTGCTGACTAATTCATAGCTTGTTTTCCGCTACATGGCTTTGAGTGCTTGTTAAGGCTAAAAAAGAGATTTTCTGGGGTGGGTTGTAGGGAAAGGTGGGGGGGGGGGAAGCAACAATGGTTGGATTGCTCTGCTTCCATTACCCTGTCTTATGATAGCCAACAATTAGTTAATCTCCTTGGCAGCAAAATGACAGGATGGGACTTGACCAAATACAATGTGTGGTGCGCATAGACATCCGCCCCAGCTGAAAGGCATTACAATGTTTGTTAACCTTAAGGGTCACTCCTGATTCACTTCTGCAGACAGAAAACAAGATTTATAGAACACGGATCAATACAGCCCAAAGACTTTCCCCACGCAGGATGCTAGATTGAGGCACTTCTCTTTATCAGTTTACCATGACACTAATGTATTTTGCCTGTTTTGCCTGGGCAGTGATGAATCTGTTGGCAAGAGAAAACAAATAAGTTCTGTTGTTGAGAGACATGTTGTCTATGATTTGTCTCAGCAGACAAGCCAGCACACTGGCCAATTCATTTCCTATTTAATTTAAGTGGCATATCTGTCTTCCCCTTTCTGGCGTGTCTTTTGTCTGCAGCACAAACCTTCCCTGGCATTCTCCAAGGGAGCTTACTGCGGATTGCATCAGACGGGCTGACTCAGTGAAGGCTGAGGGAATCCTCCACCAAGGGATGCCATTGCTAACAGTGTTTCTCTTGCTTTCACGGTTTCTGTTGCCTTCCTTGCTTTTTGGCTGTAGAAGTACAGTATGGGAAGGAAGGATGTGCCCACATTAAAAGGAGAGGCTTGCATTGCAAATTTCACAACTGGTCCTCATCCCTGCACCTGAGTCATTTCTGGTCACACCTGCCAATCGCAGCAGGGCAGTGGGGCAATAGGAGATGAGCAGGAGTGTCTTCCCATGTACCCATTTTCTCCATAATGACTTTATGGCCACCCTTGGAAGGAGGTACCAAAGTTAAGATCAATCCCCTTTTCCCAAATGTCTGCCCAACAAGCTTTTCTTTTTCAGGTAGATTGAATATCTGCACCTCTGCTCTTGGGATTCTCATCATGAAAACTTTTGAAGAAAGACACCGTCAAAAAAACAACCACAACATTATGGGCTTCATAGGAAAATCATCTTGCAGCCCCAAACCCTCTTGTAAGGTAGCTGTACAAAATGCTTCTCTTTCTTCATCTTCTCCAGGCTTCTGGTCAGAATGGAGAAGCCAGATTGGCCATCAGAAGGAATCATGATTTATTTATTTATGGTCACATGTACTGCCTTTATAAATATAGAATGCTATGTTTATTGCCACGAGAGTAAATGGGTAGATTAGGTAGGCAAAGTTAATTAGAGAGATAGGAATGGGTAAAGGGGGGGGGGGGGTAGACGGTATGAGTATGCCAAGCTGACATGCTCTGTCTCAAAGCCTTACTTTAGCATTAGAGCCAGCACTCTGTTATGATGCTTCATTTTGCTTTAAGTGTGTGCAGGAGACAGTGGCATCCATGTCACCAAGCTTACTTACCTTGACTGACAGAAGCAAATATGCTTGGAGGGGCAGTTTCACTCAGAACTTCATTGAGCAAGACCCCCACCCCATGATACTCCGCACATCTCTAGTAGATAGATAGTAAATTATGCACCCACAAGGTAAGGCTTGGATTTGCCTGCCGTTGTCATCCTTGCAAACAAGGTGTCCATTAATCTTACGTGCCATTCCGCCCATCCTCAGACAAAATTTATCAGAAAAGCTGGAAACTGAGAGATTCCTATTTGCTCATCACCCTGACCTTTTTTTCCCCTTCTCCATTCCTTGATCATTCTCTTT